TATTGTATGCTTGTGATTTGCTAAAGGAGCATAAAAGCATAAGAGATCCTAAATATTGTATGCTTGTGATTTGCTAAAGGAGCATAAAAGCATAAAAGCTCCAAGGAAAATCGATCGATGATTACATCAGTTTTCAGCAACCAAAATTAGGAAGAGTGTTTTGTACTTTTCTGGGATGATTAGGTCTTATCAAATTTTTAATTTGAGGGACCCTAGATTCTGGAGGTAGCAAATATTTTGTTGCTTTTTCCTGGCTCGGATTTCACTTGGGCCAGTTGGTTTGCCTGAGATATCATCTGCTATAAGATGGCATGAAAAATACTAATTTTGCTATTGGCCCACCATGATTTTACAGTTTATAGATAGATACAATTCTACTTCGAACAATACCTTTTTTTTTTCTTTTTAACTTTGTTTTATTTAACAAAAGAAGTGTTTTTATACAAGTCTAGACTTTAAAATTATTAAAATATTTTTAATAAATTTTTTTCTCATATTAATCAATTAAAAGTACTACTGTGATTTTAATATGTTAAATATATTTTTATTATATGATCTAAATTAAAACATATAAAAATTTTTAAATTTTTAATACATTAAATAATAAATTATACACACAATAAAAAAAACTTTCACCTTTCCAAACCTCGCCCAATCTCCGCCTTTAACTGATCCAAGTCTCAGCCACTGTTTTAATCTTCATCTTTGATTTGATGGGTTTCACAGATTAGAAGGTTGGACTGAATCTGAAGCACGGCAAAGATAACTAGATGGGTAGTGTTGTATTTGGGTAATAGCTAATGAGGCCTCTAGGCCCTGAAATGGCCTACTAAGTGGAGATTTTCAGTTTTAGTTAGGGGTGAGTGTTTTTTTAATATCGGTTGAATGGGAGTTATATTTGATATTTAATTTAAAGATTGAATATGAATTATATTTGATATTTAATTAAAAAAAATTTTAAATACAATCTTTTAAATTTGATATTTATCTCAATATTTGAAAACCCATATTTATACTTAATATTTAACCACAGCTACTAAATAAATTATAGGTATATATATATTTTGATCTTTATTATATAATGGGAGACAATCTTCTATTCTTCATTTTACTTCATTTATATATTATGCGACTCGAACTTAGAATTTCTTACTTCTCGTAGAAAGAGATGATCATTGAGTTATTTAGGTCGTTGACAATTACATGTATATATTTGTGTACTTAATTTTAAAAAAGAAACGTTTTGTACAAGTTACTATTATTGCATATATCATGTGTTTGAGTTAGCGTTTATTATTTTTATAAGTTTTTATTGCTACATGTATGATTTCTTTAACTTAAGGTTTATTTATGTATTTTATTATTTTTATTTAAATTTTTTGTATTATTATACAAATTAGAGTATAATAAGTATATATAAAATTTTAATTATATAAATACAGTTAAAAGATCAATTAAACAAGTTACTTAAACAAGTTAGAAAGACAATTTTAAATTTTTATATTTATTGTTTGATTTAATATTTATAAATATATTGTTTTTATACCAATTACTTTATTTTTTTTTATAATTTATATATATAAAGTG